TCCAATCAAAAAATGGGCAAAGGACCTGGGCAGACGCTTTTCCAAGGAGGAGATACAGAGGGCCCAGAGGCATTTGAAAGGATGCTCAGCATCACTAGCCATCAGAGAAATGCAGATCAAAACCACCATGAGGTACCACCTCACACCAGTCAGAATGGCCATCATAAACAGATCAACAAACAACAGGTGCTGACGAGGCTGTGGAGAAAAGGGAACCCTAGTCCACTGTTGGTGGGAATGCAGACTGGTGCAGCCACTGTGGAAAGCAGTGTGGAATTTCCTCAAAAAGCTGAAAATGGAACTGCCTTTTGATCCAGTGATTCCCCTGCTGGGACTATACCCTAAGAACACCAAAACGCCAATACAAAAGAACCTATGCACCCCAATGTTCATAGCAGCAGAATTTACAATAGCCAAGTATTGGAAGCAACCTAAATGCCCATCAGTAGATGACTGGATCAAAAAATCATGGTACATATACACAATGGAATACTACGCAGCAGAAAGAAAAAAAGAACTACTAAACTTCGCGACAGAATGGATGGAACTGGAGAGCATTATGCTAAGCGAAATAAGCCAGGGGGCGAAAGACAAATACCATATGATCTCACCTATAAGTGGAACCTAACCAACAATACAAAGATGCAAGGAAAATAAGACCAGCAACACTGCAAGGAAAAGAAATCAACAGAGACAAGAGGGAAGGAGGGAGGGGGGCGGGGAAAAGGAAGGGAAGGGGAAAGTCAAGGAACATATAGCAAGGACTCATGGACAAAACCAAAGGGGAAGAGCTGAGGGAGGGAAGGAGGGAGGGGACAAGGGAAAGTGGTGGGAGGGAGGCAGAGACAAATGTATTTGAAAAAATAAATTAAAATAAAATTTAAAAAAATAATTAATTAATCAATTAATTCAAAAATAATTATTTTCCTGAAGATTTCTTCTGTTCTTTTATTTGGGTTTGTCTCCCCATTCTGACTTCCTTTTGTGTTTTTTTCAGTGTACTAGGCAGGTCTGCTATGTCTCCTAGCCTTGGTATGGTGGCTTGGTATGGTAGCACAGTGTACTGTGGTGCTCAGTGGCTCAGTCTTCCCGATCACTTGAGCTTTGTACCACAGGATTGTCTCTTGTGTGGTTTATGTAAGTCTGCCTCTTGCAGTTGAGACCTGAATGCTGTTGACACATCTGGTAGTGGAGCTGACCCTCAGGCTAGCTAGGTATACATATTGGCCACAGTGTATGAGCCACTCTGTGGAAGCTAACCCCACAAATTCTGATTTGCCCCAGCAGATTCTGTATTGACAGACACCTCCTTTTCTGTGTACTGCTTGGGGAGCTAATCACATTGTATACTGTTGTGTTCTGAAGACAGCCACAGGTATGCTTGTTCTTCCAGCTGTTCAGAAAGTCACATCATCAGTGGCCTCTCCGGTTCCTTGTTTAAATTAAAAAGGCCCATACTCATCTCTGGGCCATTCTCTATTCCTCTTTTTTGGCTCTTTTTTTTTTTTTTTTCTATTAAGCTTAACTCCTTTTGACAACACTCCTACTTTACTGCTCGGCTCCTGTCAGCCTTCCCTCCAACATAGACAGGGGTTTAGTTGCTCTGTCTCTAATACCTGAAACAGTGCTTGGCACATAGTAGGGCCTTAAAATAGGACTAGAACATCACTTGCTGTAACTGCATGGCTTGAGTTTAACAAAGACATTCAAATAACTTTCATTGGCTTCTTTTCTTGTTATCACAGGAGACTACTGCAAACTACTACCATTATCTTTTGAGGTCAAAACGTCTTCACTCTGGGTATAAGTCCTTCTGTCTTATGTAAAAATACAAGGTCTGTCCAGAAAAAGTCCAGCCATTGTTAATATAACAAGAACGGTTTGTGTTATATTGATGTAACCTGGTAACAGAGGAGAGTGGACTGGAATGAGCATGCGTGAACAATGATAACTTCACTGTACTAGTCAGTGGGGGCAGTAAATGCTGTTGGATGAGCATGTGTACTGTATGGTTGTCATATTCAAAATGACTCAGCAAGTAGAGCAATGCATCTGCATCAAATTTTTCATTAAGCTTGAATAGTCCTCCATAGAAACTACTCAGATAATTTAGAAGGCTTTCAGGGGCAATGAAATGAAGTGCAAATAAAAGTGTGGCACAAGTGCTTCAAAGATGGTTGAGAATCTGTTGAAAGTGATCCATGTGTGGAAGGCCTGCAACAAGCAGAACACCTGAGAATGTTGAATGTGTACGGGCCAACAATCAACAAAGATCAGTGACTGACAGTGCGAGATCTAGAAGCTGATCTCGGGATTCCAATAACTACTGTGCCTGACACATTTTGATGCAGGATCTTGGCATGAAACATCATGGCAGAATTCATTCCACGGCTTCTGCTACCAGACAGGAAGAAACATCGTGCTGCCATTGCTAATTACTTAATTCAAGCTGCTACCAAAGAACCAGACTTCCTAAAGAAGGTCACAACCACAAATGAACGTGGGTCTACAGCTACTCATACGATCTGGAAATGAAGGCCCAGTAGTCCCAATGGAAGTAGCCTTTCTCTCCATGCCAATGAAGGCATGGGAAAGTCTCAACAAGATCAAGACCATGTTAACTGTGTTTTTGGATTGGGAAGGCGTTATCCATCATAAGCATGCCCCTCCAGATCAAACAATTATTAAGGAGCACTACCTCAATGTTCTCCAAGGTGGAAAGATGCAAGACAGTGAAAACAGCCACAGCTACGGGCAACTGGTAATTAGCAGTTTCATCACAATGCACCCACTCAAGTATCACATCTCATGAAGAGCTTTTTGGTGAAACATCAAATCACCCATGTGGCTCAGCCCCCTACAGCCCATATTTGGTGCCTTGTGACTTCTGGCTTTTCCCAAAGCTAAATCACCTTTGCAAGGGAAGAGTTTTCAGACTGTCAATAATATTCAGGAAAATACAATGATGGGGCAGCTGATGGTGATTCAAACAAAGGATCTTGCAGAGTGTTTTGAAAGTGGAAAAGACACTGGGAGAACTGTGTGAGGTCCCAAGGTGCCTACTTTGAAGGGGACTGAGGTATCACTGTCCTGTGTACAATGTTTCTTGTATCTTCTTCAATAAATGTCTCTTTTTTTCATATTACATGGCTGGATACTTTCTGGAGATATATATGGATAGCTATAGGTATAGATACAGATAGAGACATAGATTTATACATATATAGATCTATGGATATATATAGATAGATAAATAAATATGTAAAAATAAAAATAGGCTACATCGATCCCATCAAACCTAGTCACAACATTATACTCTTCCCTCCATCTTATGTTCAAGACAGGTCTTTCCAGCCCAGACCTTGCTCCCTGACTTCCTTTCCTGGGTACTGACAGAGCAATTATACCTTTTATCTCTTTCTCTACTGGGTCTTCCCAATTATCTTCTGATTGTTTCACCTTTTCTCTCTAATCTCTTTAGACACTAGATCCCTTTCAAGACACTAGCAGTTAAGCTCTCCTCCTTCCTGTCTTGAATCCCATATTCCAGCAGAGGAGAGATAGCACTGTCTCTACTCCTTAAGTCTTGGGTACTTCCGTGAGCCCTGGAGCCTGGCTTCTTTCCTACTAGTCCCCTAAACATTACCACTGAACTCTCAGTGTATATCATCATACTTGCCATGTCTTGCTGTAGATATATCCTAAAAAGATCCAAAATGGTTTTCTTTATTGTCAAATTTATTCTTTCTACTAAAAATGCTTTCTCCCTGGAACTAAGTTTCCACTTGTGTTACTGCTTTCCAAAAATTTGCCTTCTCACTTTCTTTGAGTTTTTGGTTTCATTGTTTTGTTCTAACTTAATAAAACACACACCAAAAAAACATGGAATACACAGGCCCCCTATATAGTATACCCCAAGAACCTAACACACTTTGATGAATCCGCTATGGCCTGGCCTTTATGTTCCCACACACTTACCAGCCAGGTTTTTGTCTATGAAATTTTGCTCTCTCACCTATCTCTGTACTTCCAAGGGTTTTTCTGGTCAATATGTGTAATCAAACTCATAAAGGTAATCTGAACAGTCTATATTTATTTCTATTTCCCTCTTGAGACTATATGTTATTTGAAAACAGAGTCATTTACTTGTCTTATCTAAGACATCACCTGAAACACTGATTGTTGGGGACCATTTTGTGTGGTGTTAGAAACTGTAGCCCCGCGCAAGCAAGGTCTTGAAAGAGGCCTGTAAGTCTTGACCAGAATGCCGGAAATGCAAGAGGCAGGCATGATATGATGCTAGAACTGAGGGTCCCAGTGGGAAATCAGGCCTGAAGAATGGATTGTACCCTTTGAAGCTTGCTTTGCTTTGTAGAGCTGTTAATATAAACTAGATGTTTAAGCTCAAAACAGAAGGAGTGAATTCCTGAATTCAGGAGCCCTGCCTTAATGACTGTCTGGCATCAGCAGGTCTAACAGACCCTGACCTGAGGCTAATCTCTGTGTTCCTCCTTTTGTTATCTGTATCCATATCTGTTTTCTATAAATAGAGATTTTAGGCACTGACTGATAAGCTTTGCATGCATACTGTATACCCCTGCAGGTAGGGATTCCAATAAAAGCCACTTCAGGGAAGGGTTCGGTGCATTCTCCACTAGAGGGAATCACCACCCTATTTCCTGCCAGACAGATTGTATCCAGGACCGGGTCTCCCTCAACTGATGGTCAATAAAATTTGATAAGTCCAAACAAGCAATATTCTTTAAGAAAAATAGTCATATAAGCTGGTTATGACTGAAACTGAGTGCTCAACTTGGGTGAGCAATTCCATAAATCATCTCCAGAACTCAAGACTTCCCAAATTACTTATAGAAGTTATTATCGAAAATTACTCAATTTTCCTTCCCAAGTAAACAACCATTTTAAAATTAACATTTTAGATATTTGGATTGTTAAAGGCAGTAAAACTTTAAAAAGTATTTAAAAATGTATAATTTAACCTTAGAAGCTGCTTCTTTGATGAATTTTCAGGAGTCCTGGGAAACTTTGTCTGTCTCTGCGGTGTATACAAAATGTTATCTGTAGATTTCACCCTTGGGTTTACCAGTGTTTCCATAACTTGTCTTCCATCTGATCCAAAATCCATAGAGTATTTATTAGATGGTTCTGAATTAATGACCAATACATTTTCTGAGTCATCTTTTTTTTCACTATCTGATGAATACTCCAAAATTTCTATAGAATTTGTCTGAAAGAAATTAAGAAAAATACAATTAAATCTGAAGAACTCTTTATTCAAGTCCATATTTAAATATGCCTATTATTCTATTCTCTTATGATTATAGTCATTAACTTTATATATACAATAGCTTAAACTTTGTACATACAGTAACTTAAATTTCTATTTTGACACAAAGAATCAAGCCATATAACCAAAGACAAGATGAGATTAAACCAATTGTAAGCCAGACATTATCTCACAGAATCCACCAAATTTAGTACCAATAATCAATTTTCCATCAGTAAAATAAATGTTATAGTCAGTTTTGAAAAGTGAGCTAATAACACCAACCTGAATGGCTAATGATAGTTACTATAAACTAACACTTATTGGGAAACAGAATCTTCGGCCCCAACTGGAAAGGGGAAAATACCACCGGCACCATCCTCATCTTCAAGGAGCCCTTCAGTACTGAGGGCCATGAGAGCTACTTCAGTGAATTTAGGATCATCTAAGACATGACGCAGAACCACTTGCTGATTATACTGTGTCTGGTAGCCATGGAGAAGTTGGCCTCCACAACTTGGAGGACATCATGATGAAAAGGTCAAGGTGCTGAAATGTACCTCAGAGACACAGGTGAAAAATGTGGTCTTGGGCCAATATGTAAGGAATCCCAATGGAGAGGATGAGGTCACCAATGGGTACCTGGACGACCCCCCAGTGTCCCGTGGGTCCACCATTGCCACCTTCACAACTGTTGTCCTCTATGTGGAGAACGAGAGGTGAGATGGTGTGCCCTTCATCCTGACTAGGCAAAGCCCTGATTAAATGCAAGGCAAGGTGTGTTTTTGCATTTCTGTGATGAGGCTAGAGACATCTCCCAGTGGCAGTGCAAGTGCAACAAGTTGGTAACCCCAGTACAACCCAATGAGGCTGTGTACACCAACATGATGACCAAGAAGCCCAGCATGTTCTTCAATCCCAAGGAATTGGAGCTGGACCTGGCAACAGATATAAGAACATGAGGCTCCCAGATGCGTACTAGCGCTTCATCCTGGATGTCTTCTGTAGGAGCCAGATGCATTTTGTATGCAGTGACAAGGTCCGGGAGGCCTGGGCAATCTTCAATCTCTGCTGCACAAGATTGAGCACAAAAAGTCCCAGTCCATCCCCTATGTTTATGACAGCTGAGGCCCTACGGAAGCAGATGAGCTGATGAAGAGATAGGGCTTCCAGTACGAGGGCATGTACAAGTAGATGAACCCCCTCAAGCTCTAAGCATTAAGCCCATCCCTACTCCCTGTCTTTGCCCTTCCCACCTTTCCACTGTCTGACCCCACAGGAGTAGGACTTTGGGACCATAGGCCTCATCTCACATTCCTAGCCTGGAGCCCGGCTCCATCCCTCAACCATTGATATTTTACACTCACACTGTGACCATCCTCAGCTGTCAAGGTCCTGCCTGAGCCAGTTTCTGTCTATAGGACTGCGCCGCAACAGAAGGAAGAAGAGCAGCCCTTCCGTTTGTCCCAGGTGCCTCAGCCCAGAATAGGAGTTAGAGACAAAAAAAGAGAATGAGTGGATAGGCCTCAGTAGGAGAGTGGCCAACCTACACCCACACTGGCTGTAGGTAAGCTCCTCAGAACCCTGGGAAAGGGGGAAAGTTGTCCACACCAGCTTCAGGCCACTCTACATTCCCAGCCACCTGCTGGATGGGACTTCAATGCTGCCCAATAATTCCCCATGTCTTGGGCTCTCTGAATATTCTTCTGCCCAACCAGGTCAACTCTGCACTCCATGGCCCACCCCACAGGTGCCCCCCTTGCTACTAGAAAAGTAGAAGCAGCAGGTAGGATGCCCCCCCTCAGCCCCCTAAATCCACAAACAGGGGGAAAACAAACAAGCAAGCAAAAAACATAACAAATGATGTCTTCAGTAGTCAATCAAAAAGACAAATAATGCCTTAACTGGCAAAGCAAATCATGTGTTCTTCACATAGGCATTTCTAACATGAAACAAAAGGCATAACCAACACCTTTAAGAAAGATAACTAGAAGCCATCATTTTAACATATTTTATTTTAGAACTGCACCCAAGCCCATAATCTCGGATGAATGTAAAGAACATCTCCTCGCATGGACACTCAGAACTATAGCTGACAGACACAAGTCGTTTTGGCCCCAGCCTGAAAGTCAAGAACTTATCTTTGAGAGGATGGTGTGTGTGCTCACACAGAGGCATGTGTCCAGGACGGGGAGGAGAACTGGAAAAACCAAAGACATGTCAGAAGAGCCTTCAGGTTCATAAGCTCAAGTTTATATTTTATCTTTATATTGTAATGAGAAAGAAGACCTAAGAGTTTTGGAATGAGAAAGACCTGGTTTTGAATGACAGCTCAGCTATTTAATTGTTTTGTGACCTTAGACAAGTTACTTCACTCGCTAACTCTCTCATTCCTCAGTTTAATCTAAAAATGGAAAAAATTATTCTAGTAATATTTCAAGAATTACAGATAATGACTATTATGAAATATTTCAAGCACAAAGAATTTAAAAAAACCAAAATGCATGTACCCATCACCACCCTATCATCCTTCATCACATACTAACATGATGCAAATTTTCTTTGCAGTTTCTTTTTAATGATGCAGTTGAAATTTCCTGTATCTCTCTTTCTGTTCTCATGTTCCTCCTTCCTAGAGGTAACTCACTCCTGAATCATACCCTATTTTTACATTTTTATCACACATACACATAAACACACACACTCACATGCACAAATACTGTCTAGTATCACTTTGTAAAGCTTTTAGACTTTATATAAAATTATAAAATGATGTCATCTCAACTCTGAATGACCTACTTTTTTCATGAATATTATGTTTTTCATATTTATCCACGTTCATACATGTAAGTTCTATTTCAGTGCTTCTGAAAGCAAGAAACATATATAATTTTAAATTTTCAGGTAACCAAATTAAGAAAATAAAAAGAAGTGAAATGAACTGTAATATCATATTTTACTTAACCAAATATATCAAAATATTATTTTTTCTATTTATGAGCTCTCATGAGAGTCACCTTTATCTGTCCCTTCATGCCTATCTCAGTTTTTGCTACCATGTACCTCAAAACTCTTCCAGACTCTACTATTACCTACCTCAAAAGCCATATCCTCATTTTAATGTATTTGTTACAGCAGTACCCGACTTCTCAGTACCAATTCCTGCCCATTGTCTGCTTAGGTTGCTGTAACAAAAAAACCACAGACTAGGTGGCTTAAACAACAGACATTTATTTCTGTGGAGGTTGGGAAGTCCAAAATCAAGGAGCTAATCAATTCAGTTCCTAGTGAGAGCTATCTCCTGGCTAGAAGATGGTCATTTTTTTTGCTGTATCTGAGAGAGAGGGGGAGGGAGAGAGAGAAGAGAGAGGTGCAGGCAGGGGAGAGAGATATTTCCCTCATGTCATGTCTCTTCTTATAAGGGCAATAATCCCATCATAAGGCCCCAACCTCAGCCAATCATTTCCCAAAGGCCCCTCTCCAAATACTATCACAATGAGACTTTGGGCATCAACACATGAATGGGGGGAGGGGCAAGGAAGAGGGGTGGAAACAACACAATTCAGTCTATAGCAGTCTTTTCACACTTTTTAATTTTATCTGACATGTGCAAAATGGCATTTCACTCTTGTTTAAATTTGCATTCTCATGATTATTCATAAGGTTTATCATCTTTGCCCTTGTTTATTGACTCTTCATATTTCTTCTTTAGTGAACTGCTTTTTTATATACTTTTCCCATGTTTCTAGTAGGAAAAACAATTACTTTTTAACTACTTGGATCTATGTGTTGCAGAGAGAGAAAAAATGTCATCAGAAAGTCTTTCCCAACCAAAGATTTTTTAACCATCATTTATTACTGGTAGGTTTGCTGAGTGCCACATAGTACCCTATGTACTTGGGCAAAATTATTATTCCTTGAAAATTTTTATTCTTTACCAAACCATTTTATTAGGAAATGGATTATTTTACTTAAATGTTGCATTTCAAAGTACCAAAATAAAGATTTAATATTTTTCTTTTAAAACACTTATATTTTCCCATATTTTCTCCTGTTTCCTTTAGACAGCTAAACAGTGCTGCCCTTCTTAAATTTTCATGTAAGATTACTTCAGTCATGCATATAGCTCAGTTATAGAAATAATACATTAGAGCAAGTTAGGATCTTTATTAGCAGAGAAAGTATTGTAGTAGTCAAATTCACAGAGTCAAAAAGGGACTAGGTAGCAATGATCATAATTTGCTAATGTTTAAAATATAATAAAAATAATAATATTATGATTCTTTTTCTTCAATGAACTTCAGAACTCGGAGTCTCCTGAAAAAGTGATTAAATATCACAAACAACAAGATCAAGGTATGAGCAAGGAGTAGTTCCTGTAAAATCAACAGGCAATAACAACATGCTAACCTGTCTGTGGCTGAAGTCAAATTTTATTAAAACCATAAAGTGTTCACCATTGATTCAGTTTCCAAAAATTAGCAATGCTGCTGTAGCAGACATCTGTCACAATTTGTTTCTGACTTCTCTTTTCAAAGAACCACCTGCCCATCTGTGGAGGAGGTAGCCTGCAACCTCCAAGCAGCCACAGGGGTGGCCTCCTCGCCTAAGCAGCCATGTGTCTACTATGATTGGCCTAAGGTAGACAACTGACCAAAGCCGAACAAATCAGATCCATTTTCTTCATATTTTGAATTGAGAAATACAGAGTCTGGGAACTACAAGCTAAGACACTAATAATGAATCTCTAAACAAAAATCATGAGTTCCTGCTAGTGAAGATCTCACAGCTGCCCTGAAGCCCAGTTCATCTTTCACCTTTATTTTAGATTCCTCATGATACACTAGCAAGAATACAAAACATTTCATCTTCCTCTTAAACTAGGTAGATTTGTGCTCTGTTACTTGCAACTAAAAGGCTTAACTAGCTGCTAACTATCTCCAAATAGATATTGTTCCATT